ATCGTGCACACGCACAGGTCATTTCATTCGGAGTATAGTGCTCACTTTCTCTGGGTTTGCGTCGATTCCTCGTTCGGAAATGAGAAAACCGAGTAACTTTCCGCCAAGAACTCTGAATGTGCACTTGGATGGATTAAGCTTGATATCATACCTCCTAAGGTTGGCAAATATTTCAGCAAGGTCATTCAGCAGGTCGGAACCTTTCCGTGACTTGACCACAATGTCATCCATGTATGCTTCCACATTCCGACTGATTTGAGTGAGCAAACACTTCTGAATCATCCTCATGAACGTGGCTCCGGCATTCTTGAGGCCGAATGGCATGGTGACATAACAGAAGCACCCGAATGGGGTGATGAAAGCTGTTTTGATCTCATCGGGTCCATACAGACGGATCTGATGGTACCCAGAATAGGGGTCTAAGAAAGACAGTCGCTCACATCCCGCAGTCGAGTCGACTATTTGGTCGATGCGAGGAAGAGGAAAATGATCTTTCGGGCAGGCCCGATTGATATGTTTAAAGTCAATGCACATGCGAAGTGACTTGTCCTTCTTGGGGACCATGACAACATTGGCGAGCCACTCGGAGTGGTAAATCTCTCGGATAAACTCTGCTGCTAAGAGCCGAGTCACCTCTTCGCCAATAGCCTTCCTTTTCTGGACGGTGGACCGTCGCAGATGTTCCTTGACAGGTTTTTCCTTTGAATCGACTCGCAGACGGTGCTCAGCCAGCCCCCTGGGTACACCTGGCATGTCAGAAGGTTTCCATGCAAAGATGTCCCAGTTCTCACGGAGGAACTGGATGAGCGCTTCTTCCTATTTGGGGTCGAGTGTTTTGGAGATATTAGTCGGAGCAGCGTTGGGATCGGTCGGGTGGATGTGAACTGGTTTTGTCTCACCGGACGACTGAAACGCTGATTCCGTAGCGGGCTTCTTGGCTCGCAACAAATCACTCGGGTCTGCATTTCTCTAGTGTTCCTGCCACTCTTCTGCCACCATTTGAGCATCGGCAATCTTTGAGCCTTTCTGGAATCACTCTTCCGCCTTCTTGCGATTACCAGTAACAGTGATCACGCCTTTAGGGCCAGGCATCTTCAATTTGAGGTACACGTAACATGGAGCCATAAAACGTGCATAAGCTGGCCTGCCCAAAATAGCATTGTAGGCACTCTGGAAATCTACAACCTCAAATGTCAACTTTTCTTTGCGGAAGTTCTTGGAATCACCAAAAACCACATCGAGAGCAATCTGGCCGAGTGATGCGGCCTTCTTGCCAGGAATGACTCCATAGAAACTCATGTTGCTTGTGTTGAGTCTGGACATCGGAATGCCCATCCCTTTCAGCGTCTCAGCGTACAGTATATTCAAACTACTACCGCCATTCATCGACACTTTAGTCAGTCGAGTGCCCTCGACGACTAGGTCGACCACCAGAGCTTGCCTCCCAAGGGTGGCTATGTGCGTCGGGTGATCAGACTGGTCGAATGTGATGGCCGTCTGAGACCACTTCAGATAATTGGGTGTCGCCGGAGCAACCATATTCACCTCTCGGTTTATAACTTTCAGTCGACTTTTGCTCTCGACGTCAGCAAAAATCACCAGAGTGGAATTGACCTGAGGGTATTCCTCGTCACTATCCCCCTTGTCCTCGACTTTGTCTGACTCCTTTTCCTTATCCTTGGACTGTTTCCCCTGGAACTGCTGTATCAGAAGTCGACACTGTCGAGTGGTATGCTTCGGGTAAATGAAATTACCATCTTGATCTTTCTTCCTGTGGATGTGACACGGCAAATCCATCACGTCATTTCCTTCTTTATCCTTCACTTTCTTGGGGTTCCAAGGCCCTTTGGGTTTTCCTTTGAACTTTCCTTGAGTCACGGCCAAGGTTTCTCCAGGAGCAGCTGGCTCGGCTTTCCGATTTTGCTTCCGACTGGAGTTCGCTCCTCCGGTTTCCTGGGCGACTGACTTGTGCTTGCCGCTCCGGAGCCGATCCTCTTCCTCACCATTGGCATATTTGGTGGCTATCTCCATCACTCGACTCAGAGACATGTCTCTGGTTCGACCGAATTTCAGGCTTAGCTCTCTGTACTTAACGCCTTCCTTGAAGGCGCAGACTGCCTGGTGATCAGATACATTCTCTTCTGTGTGATGCAATGTGATCCATCTCTGGATGTAATCTCTCAAAGTCTCATTCGACTTCTGCACACAAGATTGTAGCTCTGCCAGTCCTGCTGGTCGCTTGCATGTTCCTTCGAACGTTCTGACAAACACTCGGGAGAGGTCTTCCCACGTGTAAATGCTGCTGGGTGTCAACTGATTCAGCCATGCCCTGGCTGATCCCTCCAACATAAGAGGCAGATGTTTCATGGCCACCTTGTCATTTCCGCTGCCGATCTGGACAGCCACTCGGTAGTCCTCAAGCCCAGTATCGGGCTTAGACTCACCGTTGAACTTACTGACTCCAGTCGCCAACCTAAAGTTGGGAGGAATCACTGCGGCTCTGATGGCTCTACTAAAACACTCTGGTCCGCAGACATGCACTCGGCTGCTGGTGGGTACATCTCTGTTGTGACCCTCTCTGTGAGCTCTGTTCCGGTCGACCAAACCTTGAACGATGATGCATCTCGCATCAAAGCCTGGTTCCCTGGGGTCGACAGGAATTCTTCGCCCGCCACTGTGCTGGTGTCTATCATCCTGCTGTCGAGGTACGTAGGATCCACCCCTAGGGGGAGGGGTGGGCACTCGATGTCGATCATCCCGATTGAATCGGTGATCATACTGCTCACGGTTCCTGTACTGATCGTGCTGGTCTCCACGCCCCTTCACGCCTCGGGGCGATCTGAGGCTATGAGCCGACTAGACCGTATTCGCAACCACGGATTTGCTGTGAATCCTGTTCCGCGACTGTGATACAGCTGAATTTTGATCTCCTGCTGCCCGGAGCAAATCTCTGATCTGCATCAAGCCTCTGCCAGCCTCTGACTAGGAAGGCTGAATTGATTCTGCTATACGGGCTGCAGCTGCTAAATTCTGAATCGGAGTTCGATATACCTGAGTCGGAGGTGGAAAGAGCTGACGTCAACTGGAGTCCGGGACCCATTGCCGCGCATGCTCGTCGAGTGCTCGCTGAAGGTTCTCCAGTCGAGTGCGCTCAGCCAGGTTGGCCAAGCGCGCGTCCTCTAAGGCGCGAGCCTCAGGGGTTTCTCCAATGATAGGAGTGTTAAGTGCATCCATGTTCTGGCGGCGAAGTTCTTCCCTCTGCGGTGAATTGAGGAGTTCGGGGAGGTTTTCTTCATGGGCGTGCGACGGATCGCCTCCGCCATCGCCTCCCTCGGCACCGGGAAAGCCGGGGGGACCGTGTGGTCCATTGACCATCAGGACCTCCGCCGCTGGATCACTGCTGTCGCACTCGGATGCAGTCTCTGCGGAGCCAGTCGACAGGTCGAACAGGCCGTAGAGAGATTCGTCGGGTTAGATTGCCGCGACTTGGGCGGTGGTCGACTAGCGAGCCACCGCGTGCCTCACCCACCGCTGAAGCCTCGACCGACCGGAGCGCTTGCGCCGACGGGAAGCTGGAAGGGAGGATGACACAAAAACCGATCGATACTGGGTCGACGGTTGCCGCGGGAGGACACCGCGGACGCACGCGCGAAAGTGCGTCGCTCTGCAGACTGGGAGCGCGTTGACGTCGAGCGGAGCCTCCTGAAGCCAGGCAGAGTCGTCCGTGACGAACGTGAGCGCGCCGAGACGGATCTCGCGGCCCTCAACCAAAACTCCGCCTGAAACCATGATGAAGGAGATCGGAAAAATTGCAACATCTCCAATAAGTCGCTAAGACACCTGCCCCACGGTGGGTACCAACTGTCGTGGTTCTAAGTCTGACAGTAGTGTAGGGGGGTACTAAAGGAGAGGCAAGATCCTAGCTATGGAGTAGTTGTACACGCAAGGGTTTTACGAGTTCAGGCCCTTCTCGGAGGAAGTAATAGCCCTACGTCTCGGTGCCCGAAGGCGGTCGACTGGATTATATGCGTGTGAGTTACAGGGGTGCGAACCCTTCTGCTTGTGGAGGGGGTGGCTTATATAGAGTGCGCCAGGACCCCAGCCAGCCCACGTAGTGGAGGGTTCAATGTACATAAAGGCCTGACATTGCTGGTAACATCTTACATAAAGTGATATCATGGCCATAAAGACTACTTAATAACAGACCGTTTGGATGCAGAGTGACCCTGGATCTCCTGGTGGTCGAGTGAGTCTTCATGGTCGAGTGTCTTCGAGTCCGTCGAGTGGAATCCTTCCAGGTCGACTGAAAGACAGTTTCTTCTAGAGGTGTCCTTGGGGAGGGTATCTTGGACTGGTCCATGACCCTACCCTAGGTACATGGCTTCATCAGTCTCCTCCCGCCAAGTCATTTGAACCGGCACTATTGGACGCATTAGTGCCGGCTCATATGCAAACCGGTACTAATGTTTCTCATATTTGACCCTTTTTCTACTAGTGAAGCCCATTAAACATTCAAAACAGATAATATAGTAGCATGGAACAATCAAAAACTATAGATACGTTGGAGACGTATCAGTCTCCTCCCAGGCTCCAGAGGTAGCACACACAGGTAGTAGCTGCTGTGGATGGTCGTCGGATCTCTCTCTCTCTCTCTCTATGTATCTATCTATCTATGTCTCTCTATCTATCTATCTATCTATCTATCTATCTCTATCTATCTATCTTTCTATCCCTATATCTATATATCTATATATATGTCTATCTATCTATCTATCTCTCTATCTCACTATATATCCATCCATCTATCTATCTCTCTATCTCACTATCAATCGATCCATCTTTATCTCTCTCTCTATCTATCTATCTATCTAGCTCTCTATCTATCTATCTATCTATCTATCTAACTCTATCTATCTCTCTCTATCTATGTATCTATATCTCTATCTCTATCTATATCTATCTATCTATGTATCTATTTATCTCTCTCTATCTATCTACCTATGTATCTATCTATATCTCTATCTATCTGTCTCTCTATCTATGTCTCTCTCTCCCTCTCTATCTCTATCTCTCTCGCTCTTTATATATCTATCTATCTATCTAGCTATCTATCTATCTATCTATCTCTCCCTCTCTCTCTCTCTCTATCTATCTATCTATCTATGTCTCTCTCTCTATCTCTCTCTATCTATCATCTTTCGATCTCTTTCGATCTCTCTCTATCTGTTTATCTGTCTACCCATCTATCTATCTATCTATGTCTCTCTCTATCTATCTATCTAACTATCCATCTATCTGTTTGTTTGTCTGGCTATCTGTCTACCTATCTGTTTTATCTATCTATCTATGTCTCTCTATCTCTATCTATCTATCTCTCACTCTCCCTCTCTCTGCGTGTGTGTGTGTGTATTTCTCTATCTATCTATCTATCTATCATCTATCTATCTCTCAGTCTCTCTCTCTGTCTGTCTGTCTATCTATCTATCTATCTATATGTCTATCTATCTATCTATGTCTCTCTCTATCGGTTTATCTCTCTATATATCTCTATCTATCTATCTATCTATCTATCTATCTATCTATCTATCTATCTATCTATCTCTCGCTCTATCTCTATCTATGTATCTCTCTCTCTATCTCTCTCTCTCTCTATCTGTCTATCTATCTCTCTGTATCTATGTATATCTATATCTATATCTATCTATCTATCTATCTATCTATCTATCTATGTCTCTCTCTCTCTATCGATTTATCTATCTATCTATCTCTATCTATATATATATATATATCTATTTATCATCTATCGATCTCTCTCTATCTGTTTATCTGTCTACCTATCTATCTATCTATCTATCTATCTATCTATGTCTCTCTCTATCTATCTATCTAACTATCCATCTATCTATCTGTATGTATGTCTATCTGTCTACCTATCTGTTTATCTATCTATCTATGTCTCTCTATCTCTATCTATCTATCTCTCACTCTGTGTGTGTATGTGTGTATTTCTCTATCTATCTATCTATCTATCTATGTCTCTCTATCTATCTATCTATCATCTATCTATCTCTCAGTCTCCCTCTCTCTATCTGTCTGTCTGTCTGTCTATCTATCTATCTATCTATGTCTCTCTCTCTATCGGTTTATCTATCTATCTATCTATCTCTATCTATCTATCTCTTTATCTATCTATCTCTTTATCTATCTATCTCTATCTATCTGTCTCTCTATCTATCTATCTATCTATCTCGCTCTATCTCTATCTATGTTTCTCTCTCTCTCTCTGTCTATATATTTCTCTTTATCTATGTATCTCTCTATATCTATCTATCTCTCTATCTATCTATCTATCTATCTATCTATCTATCTATCTATCTATCAATCTATGTCTCTCTCTCTATCAGTTTATCTATCTATCTATCTCTATATTTCTCCCTCTATCTATCTATCTATCTATCTCTCTCTCTCTCAGTTTATCTATCTATCTATCTCTATATTTCTCCCTCTATCTATCTATCTATCTATCTATCTCTCGCTCTCTCTCTCTCTCTCTATATATATATATGTATCTCTCTATATATATCTATCTATCAATCTATGTCTCTCTCTCTATCGGTTTATCTATCTA